GAAATTCTGTTTTTGCGGCCCCATTTATGTGGTTGTCGTAGAAGCATGCAAATCTAAGGTACTCATCACAGTTTTTTTTAAATATTAAAATGTTATTTGTTTTTTGTTTTTTTATAACGAAGAATGCCTTACAACTGGCAATTTGCTGAGTTGGGTGGGGCAAAGCAATGGAGGCCCTTTTAATCTTTATTTTATTTTATTATTATTTTTCTTTTTATCCCAAAATGGTGGCATTTTCAGCCTTCTCTCCATAATCACTTTGAAGGGGAGAGACTTCTCAGCCACTAGTTACAAAATGAATATGATATAAAATAAAGTCCATAATAACTGGTCAGGAATGTTGCGCTTGGCTTTTATGTCATGGATTTCATGGCTATCAATGCCGTGGCAAATGATCTCTGATAAGGTATTAGGGAATGTCAAAGAGGGATGGATGGATGGATGAATAGATGGATATATTAAATTATATTATATTAAACAAGTTCTTTACATGTTCAAATAAATAATAAAAATAAAAAATAAAAAATTGTTGCAGTTGCTGCAGATGCCTTTTTCTTTTTTCTTTACACTTTATTTGAACACTTTCGATCCAAAAGACCAAATGACTTTCAACTACTCAACAATGTCTTCCCAATTTAAAAAAAAGATATATAAATCTTTCTTCAAAAACAAAAACTCTCCAAATAACTTAGGATTTGCTTTGTTTCAAACGTACATATGTTACAGAAACATTCCACAAATGTCAAAACATCATCACTTCTTCCTCTTCTCCTATCTTCTTTGTTTTATTTCAACATGTAATCATCAATATCAATATCAAAGAACCAGAATACTTTACTCTACTTTTTACTTTTTACTTTTTAATTTCTCAAAAATGGTGTTCATCAATCCCACCATTCTCGTAAACAATTACACTCCTTTCCTTTCCCATTTCCAGCAATAAGATATAATTCAGGGAAAGGCAGACGGCCGCATAATAAGGCAAGGCAACATACAGTCCCTCACACATGGCAATCTGATAGACTGCGTGGGACAAAGGGCATGAGACCATTGCATGGAACCCCCTTCAGAAAACAAACCAACCACCATGTGAAAGTGAGAAATTGGGTGTGTCTCCTGATGTGGCAATGCATCAATGCCAACTTGGAACCTGTGGGGCTGACCTGGCAAGCATGTCAGCTGAGCTGGCAACTTAAAAAGCACTAAAATAATACCAAGGAAAGACAGGGTGGACTTTCCAAGCCCACACCCCATCTACTTGTGACTAACTTCTAAGCTTGCCTCGCCTTAAGGGGGGGCAGGTGGGTGGGTTCCTATCCTATCCTATAACATGTGTTTCCCCATAACACATGCTACCCACGCTAGCCAAAATTGCAATAGAAGTTGCCAAGAGTGTACATAATAATGTCAAGTCATAAGTTACAAGTGACAAGTCTTGTGTCAAGTTTGTACACAAACTCCATTATTAAAAAAAACATAATTTCAAACTTACAAGTGAAAAAAACCATTCTTCACCTTGTGGCCACTTCACTTCAAGCATAGGAAAAAGGATTGAGTTGCCTGCCCGCCTGCCCTTGATTAGGTGCCCGAAGAGAACATTTTAATTTTCTGGCGGCGGCGCGTAATATCGGACCAGTGGTCCACGTCAGTTGGATGAATTTAACGTCAATGATGGATGTGTAGTGTGAATGGATGGATGAAGTATGATCGAAAGATCCTGCAGTGTATCCGACGCAGCAGAGCCCACTAGACTCTGGAGCCGCAGACAGTGCCTTCGTTTCGTTCTTGTTCGGAGATTTCTACCTTTTTCCTCTAGATGGGGAAGCGTAAATCCTGTGAGTTGGTTGGCTGAAATGTTTCACCGTCGAGTATATAAGCTTCCCCCGCCCAGCACTTTCGATCATCGCCGGCTGCTCGGATCCTCCCTTTCAATTTTTCGAAATTGGCGGTTTCCAAACGTACAGCTCCTACTTGCGGTGGACTGCGCAGATTTCCAATTGCATCTTCATCACTTCCACTTGAAGAGGTTGAGAGGATCTTAGATTGTTGTCCAAAATGACGCGGTGACTGTCATTCTGTGACTGGAACCGGAGGACCTGGATCTTGCTTTGGTGAAGCATTATTTTGGTTCGGTGATGCTTGCTTGGGGAGAGAGTTGAGAGGCTTGAGTTCAGTGGTGCGGTTAGTTGGAGAACTCGCTGTTAGCCTGCAGCTGTGAGGCTGCAATTGCTCTCTTTTGCACCTGCGAGGCTGAAGGTTGGTGGCTCTGTGGTTTGCGGTCACAATTCGGATCGGGTTGCAGCCATCGAGCGTGGTAGCATGGGGGTCTGGGCAATTGCTCTGCATGGCGGTGCAGGAATGATTGCCAAGGAGAAGATGACCGCGGATTGGAAGAAACGCACTGAAGCTGCTCTTAACGAGATCTTGGACGTCGGCATTGCCGCTCTTAGGAACAGCCTTCCTGCTGTAGAAGCCGTTGAGCTTGTTGTGTGTAACATCTCTCACATCCATTTGTTTACATTGTGCTGCAGTTCATTGAGATATCTAATTTGAGCTGCTTGGTAACAGCTATATAGAAGATTTTTTTACTACATCTATTCCTCAAATCCTTGCACCAATTGGTGTTTGTTCTTACTCGTGCCGAAATCAGAACCATTCTTTCAAGGGAAACAATGGTATCTCACGTGCTTCAGCGATAGCTTCTCTCGTTATCCTCTTGTGGTATCCAAATCTCATTCGATACATGTGCAAATACTGTTTTGTAGGTGAGGGCACTCGAGGACAACACCTTATTTAACGCTGGAAAAGGTTCTGTGCTTACAAATAAGGGCACTGTGGAGATGGAGGCGTCTATCATGGACGGAAGATCAAAGAATTGTGGCGCTGTCTCTGGAATCTCTACGGTAGTGCACCCCGTGTCGTTGGCTCGTTTGGTGATGGATAATTCGCCTCACGTCTATCTTGCATTCGATGGAGCAGAAGAGTTTGCAAGGCAACAGGTCAGCACAGAACCCTAATTATCACAGCACTTAAGCGAAAACTATCTCAATTCGGTGACGCGTCTGTTATGCCGTGTGTCATTTTGGGAATTCTTAATCTTAGCCGTTTTTTCTGAATCTGTTTCCTTAATTTTCTCCAAAAAGAGTGCTGACGGTTTCGGTCTTTACAGGGAGTTGAGACAGTGGATACGAACACCTTCATTACCGAAGAGAATCGAGAGAAGTTGGAGAACGCAAAGAAAACGAATTCTGTCGAGGTAATTCTCTTTTGTTCAGACAAGTATTTCAGTATTTCTTAATTAATCCACACTTCATCTACCTTCCGACTGATATTTGAAAGCTAATGTTGACGCGGTTTTCTTCTTGGGGAACGATCTTGCAGTTGGACTTCTCTGAGCACGCTCCCGACGATCTAAATAGCGGTGACAACGAGGACACTCGCACCAATGGCAATGGTGCCGCCCATGCAGGCTATAACCCTGGACAACGGGAGATCGCAAATGAGAAGACGAATGATCACCCGGATAGGTTTGCAATTAAGAAGAAATGCGCTCTCCATCAGGTCTTCAAGGCAGAATTTGAGACTGTAGGTTGTACCGCAGTAGACGTCTGGGGTAATTGTGCCGCAGCAACCTCCACAGGAGGCCTTGTCAACAAAATGTCTGGTCGCATCGGTATGTGGTTCTGTCCTTGACTATCAATTCGACTTGAAATTGCCACCTATGAGCTTGAAAGGTGATATTGTTGCTCAGTTTAAGATCCTCCATGACAAGTGCATTGACCAGTATCTTATATCTCATATTTTTACAGGTGATACGCCCATAGTAGGAGCAGGTACATACGCAAACCACCTGTGCGCAGTGTCAGGAACAGGGCGAGGGGAAGAGTTCATCAAACACACTGTTGCCAAAGAAGTGGCAGCTATAATGGAATACAAGGAGCTTCCGCTTGGTAAAGCTGTGTACAAAGTGATCCATGAGAAGCTTCCTGAGAACATGGGAGGATTGGTGGCGGTATCTACCTCTGGCGAAGTGGCCATGGCTTTCAACACTCCCAGCATGTTCCGAGCAAGTGCACAGGAAGGAGGCGAACGCATGATCGGAATTTGGTGAACCATTGCAGTTTTGGACCTGGGTTTTGCACCTTATCTGAGAAATAAAAATCCAGCACACGTCGAGTGTTCTGTGCAGAAGACAAGTTGCATTAATAATGTACTTTAAACACGGAAGGTATGTCTTACGATCACCATGGCACCATCACTTCCAAGATGGGACAACAGCATTTTGTGAAAAAGTTCATCATTTAGGTGATTATCATGTCATTTTATCATTCATATTCAAATTCCTCTTCATTCTGAGGTTTTTTGACTATAATCGAGTGAGGGGGGCAGCAACTTCAACTGTTCACCAATTGTGCGACAAGATTTCTGTAAATACAGATAAGACATCTTGTCTCCTTTTTCTCAAGACAATTTGTCCCTACAATCTCGAAGGTTTGTTTGCTGCATGGTCTTTACACTCATCCAGAAGAACAATGGTCGCTAATGAGAACATGGTTGTAACACTTTTTCGTTGAGGTGCTCATCCCTAGCATCATGTGCCATGTCGCTAAAATGTCGAACAGTTAACTGTGGCCATCCTTATTTGTGTGGAATTTGATCCATCCGACAGTTATTCATATTCTCCACCTACATTCCAGACTGGGCACTGGATAGCACACCAATAGTTGGTGACCTTAAGTGCACTCCGTCAAGACATCTTTTTGGAAGTAAAATATAGACACAAAATTGTTAGATCAGAAGGCCATAACTGGTTCAAGTAACATCTCCCGTACTGACTGAAGAATCATTTAAAGATAAAACACTCATGATAGTGTGTTCGGTCGCCTTTTCATACGCACATTCCATGCATCTTTCTTCTTCGTTAGGCAGGAGGATGGAAATTGTTTTTCCTATCCAACGATGCCATCATTTCGTGAGTAAAAAGAGAAGAATCCTTGAGGTGTACAGTATTTAATTTGCATATCAGTAACGTAAAACGAAAATGATGTCATCCTAATAAAACTCCTGCTATGCTGATCAGTCAGCATTGAGGAAAAATAGGGTTCGTATTAAGAAAAATTGCTTTATATATTTTTACTTCATCTGAATTACCGATGAACTGTTCATGACTGCGTTACTGCCCTGGAAACAACACAGATTGTAGATCCTCAAGACTCAATTTCGAGGAACTTGGCAATTGTTTACACTTTTGTGGGTTTATCAATCCCAAGGAACGTCCACACTCTAAAACGATAAAATTTCAATGTCTGCAACGATTATAAAATTAAGCAGGTAGTACTGTTTTCATCGTAACAGTGGCAAGAAGCAATAAACGCAGTTGAATTACAAAGACACTTGAGGTTGCATACGAAGTGAAGATATTGAATGACGGGAAATTAACATTAGTTTCTTGTGAACCAATGCAGGGCTAGAGACGAGCCGTGGAAAGGAAGAAACAGAGAAAACAATGATTTCAAGAAATTGAAGTATATTACCAAGAATTGAGAAGTATGAGAGACGACTAAAATCGACATGCCAGACTCGCATTTTACTTTCTCGAAAGACTAAAGATCACATAAGCATCTCTTAAACCAATTCAGTTTGGCGCAGACCTGTGAAGATAACAGTAATTCCTAGTTTTAAGAAATCGGCACAGAAGTCTCATTATAGATTCACCTAATTGCAGGAATCTTTAAAACCCTAACTCTAAGACGAGGTTTCAGGCTCGACAGCCTCTTCACTGGCCTCCTCGATAGCGCTATCCTCTTCTTCTCCCTCACCATCTCCAACAATAATCTCAAACGAACCGGACGCGCCATACATTTGCTCTAAGTACTCCACCGACGACTTGGTAAGAATCAATTTGTCAGCTCTCAAGACATCATAGAGGTTCAGATTTCGGGGTGTAATGAGCTTGACGGTACTTACATTTCTGCTGGACAATACCAGAGATTCCGAAGGGTTCACAGAAAACAGCAACGAATTTTCTCCTTGCTTGACGCCCCATCTCTTGAGTGCAGAAATGAATTCCTTCGTCTTAGGCGTGGTGAATTTGTCCTCAAAATCCTCCACCACCACAGTGTTAACACTTGCAGACTGCAGGGCAGTGCTAATGGCTAACCTTTTCTCCTTCTTGTTAATCTTGATGGACCAATCCTTGGGCTTAGGGCCGAATACAACACCTCCACCAGGGCGAAGTGGCGTCCTAATCGATCCCTGGCGAGCCCTTCCGGTGCCTTTTTGCTTGTAAGGCTTCCTTCCTCCTCCTCGCACCTCACTCCTCGTCAAAGTCGACGCGGTTCCCCGCCTCCTGTTCTGCATCTCACAAATCACACCCCTGTGTACAACAGCCTTAGCAGTCTCGGGCCGGGCCGTCCGCAGGTCCATCTCCACCTCCCCGGCTGCCTCGCCCTCGAACGTCAACATGGGAAGCGTCACTGCCATAGCCACGACCTTCCCGGGCTTGGCAGCTGATTGGCATTGCAATGCCTTCTTCACGCTCGCCCGCTTCAAAGACGGCACCACCTTCAAGCCACTGAAGGACGCATTGGTCGTGCTGTGCGACAGAGGCGAAGCGAGGGAGGAAGACGAAGAGGTGAGAGGCAACGCCACGCCCGCGGTAGTCGACGCCATCGCCGCAGAAGCAAAATTGATGCACCAAATTGGAACTGCGAGCTGCTCGAACTGGCTCCCTGGAGAGAAAGAGCAAGCGTCTCTCAGGATAATAGAACGCCGCAATTCTGAGGCCCCGGATAAGGCACAACCTCAGTGGTTGCACCGAAGCTGGGTCCCAGCCTCGGCTTACACCGAGATAAAACCATGACGTCTATTCCCATGACTAAACTTTTTTACGAATTACTTATCGCTATCAACAAATGTCAAATAAACCGAAACAAATAATTCCCATGATCACAACTTCAGGAACATCTCCCGCAGCTTTAGAACAACAATTCATGAGTTGAGATTTTAGCACAATAATCGGCTCCGCAAATTTTACACACATCGTTAAGATTTGGGCGTTGATTTCAGTTTGAACAAACCACAATGTGCCCCGCACGCCCTGTAATTTCGGTACTTTTGCCTCAATCCATGAAGCCCTAAATTTCAACCTTACGTGGACCATCCCAGTTTCAGAACTTTGCATCAGCGGCATTGAATAACGCTTTGAAGCTCTTATCCCTAGTTTGGATGGTATCCTGCGGATGGAAGGTCAGAATGAGCGACAACAGCTTTGTAATGGAAACCGAGGCTGGCTTATCCACACACGGCCAACCTGATCCCTGTCTCTGTCTCTCTCGCTCTCTCTCCCTCTCCTCTCCTTCCTTTCTGCCGCAGCTCGTGTCTTCAATTCCAATTTCATTGCGCTGCGTGTGGATTCCGTCTACACCTCAATTATCTCCGGGCTCACAGACATGGTAAGTCAATCCATCATTGTCCTCATTGTCTGGTTCCACTTCGCTCTCACCAGGGATTCTGCATTATTTGCAAGCCACGCATACAGTCTCAGAGAAGTTGTAGTAGTTTTCCATGTGCGTGATGGACCGAGGAAGTCGGCCCTGGGGAGAGCATATTCTATAGTCAGACGAGGATTGATGTGTTGGAGTATTTTAAGAAGGTCGCTTCAAGTCGTTCTGGCGGAAGGGCAGAAATACTTATTGGATAATTAGCTTTGTTTTGAACGGATCGCATTGAGTATTATTCATGCTTCGAGTAATAGGGCGAGGTGGCTTTGTAGGATTGCCATGGAGCTGGTCGTTCGTTGCAGTTTTAGGCACAAGTTTTTGGTCACCTGGAATGTGTTAAATGTCAACCGATATTTTGTGAGGTAGGAACATGTTGGCTTGAAATGAACTGCGTAGGATTGAGAAGAATGCCATTACTAGAAACCGAATGTCGAGTTTGACATGACCGCGCTGTTTTACGCGCTTTGACGTCCGCATGTATCGAAGTACTGCAATTTTTTCAACGTGCAGGAATGTGGGTGAATGAATAGCTTAGTGCTTTTAAGCTTTGCCCTGGAGGAGAGAATGAGACGTAATGTTACTGGATTAAGAAGAATGCCGTTACTCTCTTGTGCAGGCTTTGCGAGCGTCGGCCCAGGCTACGTTGAGTGTAACTGCCATCACGCATATTCAATATGACAACCAGTCTGCAGCAACTACAGCTGGAGCCGCAAGTTCAGTGCGGAGGCCTGGTATCTCGCGGACATGCAGAGTGTCCCACTCCCTGCATACGAGCAGGAAGCCAGCAATTAGTGCGGTGCATCGTACTAGTTCAATAAGGATGGAAGGGGCCCCAGTTGCCACAACCAGCGAGGCAGGTGTGATCTCCAGCTTGTACTAATGTGAGCTTCCTCGCACTGCATCTTGGTTTCTGAAACATGCTAGGTCAGGTAGGAGGCGCTGCATTAGCATCGCCATATCGGTCATTGCATGTAAGAAAACTGAAAGCTCCGTGCGTTACTCAAACTCTGGAAATAAGAAGTGAACTTTTACCAATGCAATGAATTGACTTGAGAGATTTTCTCACTTGCTTTTCTATGTTGAAGTCTGTTTTTCCAGACTACTGACTTTTCCACAGGTTCCCTTGACAAGGAAGAAGGACCTTTACTGTCGGATACTGTGGACGTTTCGGAACATGTTGCTGTCCTGAAAAGAGCTGCTAAAACAAAGAAGGTCCCTCCGACTGAGGTATTTGCCGCCATTAGAGCTATTGAGAAGGCGAAAGTGAATCCTTCAAACTTTCTTCAATATCTCGGTGGTACTCAGTCGCCTGGGCGGACATGGATGCTTGTGTTTACTGCTGGCAAGAACTTGGTACGTGTTGTGTAACTTGCGGCAATTCAATGAGATATTCGTTTACTCATCTGCTTACTAGCATCCAACCTTGCCCCTCCGTGGTGATGCTTCATTTCGGTATGCTCGGCCACACAATCATTAAAGTTGACTATTGCTGTGAATGACACTAGGAGTTTCGGGTCGATACTCATGCCACCTGAACTTGTGCAGGTCAGGGACGCTCTCCAAGGAGGTCCTGGTGGAGGCAAGTACCTGCCTGTAACAGCAGTACAGAACTTTGATGCAGCGGTAAGTTGAAATGCACCAGCTGCTGTGGACAACTTGTGTTGTTGAAATAACTGCCAAATCTCTGACGATTTTGATTTCGACATCTGACCCAATCATGTTTCGACATTCTTACTCTACCATCGGTTTGTATTTATGCTGGTGTGCAGGCCTTGAGAATTGAGAATGGAGTCTACCTTGGCCCTCTGGGCGCGCTTGCCTTTGAAGGCAGATTTTCAATGAACAAAAGAATCCTAGCTTTTTTGTTTGACAAGGTGAAGATCAAGATTGGATCTCTTCCACACTTCTCAATAAATATCGGCAAAAAAGAGGATGAAGGGCGAACTCCTGGTAACACCGACCCATTCTTTATCTGGTTTTACGCAGACGATGAGATAATTGTTGCCAAGGGAAGAGGTGGTGGTTTAGCATTCTGGTGTCGCTGCAAGCGGGTTTCTGAAAATTTCTGAACATCATTGCACCGTGTGCGTCAAAGCCAAGCATGCACGAGGCCGATGTATCTCTACATCCTTGTAGAATACGCATGTATATGTTAACCCCTGTCCAACTAGAATCTTGTCTGCATCTAGGATTGCGAACTAGCAGAGTGTCTTACTGAAAATTCTGGAAGTTCAATTGCAGCCTGACGCGAAGGGAGAGCTAGTGAATCAATCAGTCGACAAGTTAAAGATACTTTTAGGTATCGATACTATGTTAACGTTTGTGTATCTCTGTAAACAATGTGAATGCAATAACTCTGTATGTGCTACTCAGGGATCCTGAGACCAGTCGAAATTGTGAAACTACGGAAATGGCAGCCTTTGAAGATCATCAGACCTAGGTACAGATGATAGTTTATCTTCAAACTTCTACATGTTTGCAGAACCTTTGATATTCACGGGATGATTCTAGTACTGACTAACCTAAACATTCTAGTGTTTGCAGCTGCTAACTTCTCGCTCCCCAGCCATTAATAAGTGCACCCATGTTATCTCATACTCATCATCAAACTATATCTTTTGAGTATCAGGGTTCGACCTCCCACCTAATAAAATAAAAGTAAAAGTATTCAAACTAAATAGTCATTTCTCTCAATGACAGTTGATTTGAAACTTCTCTATCGAGTAACCAAAAATTTAAGCGCAGTAAACACTACGAAACGCTCTCGACAGTGGCATCTACTGACGCCCTCTCCAAAGACGATTTGTTTGTTTCCGCTCCGCCAGTTTCCTTCATGCAAAGAACGACATACGTGAGATGTATGGAGTGAACGACTAGCAACCCAGTACAAAAAGAATACATTCATTTAATTGTAACTTGTTAGTGAGAATAAAAGCAATATACGAAGAAGAAACTTGTAGATTACCTTTGCAATTCCTTCGTTCTTTCTCGAAATTCTGTAGGAATGTCTAAACCATCATATGAAGCTAGCACAGGTCGAATGTCTGCTGGTCTTTGGCGAGCTACAACTGCCACATTCACATGACACAACTCGCTAATCAACTGAAGATTCCAAAGACAAAAGCATCTCATGACAGTCTTGAACTTAAACAGCAGCGAGTGTATTCAGACAAAATTAGAGGAACATGTACACGTCAGTGTACAAAATTAAGGTTGATAATGGACGTGAGAATAATAGTTGATTTGAAGAGTATGTACATTCAAGGAAAGGAAGCATGTCGAGAAGCACAGTGTCGTCCGGTTCTAATTTCCATGGTTTAATGGGTAGAGCATTTTCAGGTTGTAAAGTTGTATCCTTAGCATGTCCGCTGAGGTAAATTACATGAGTCGGGTCCCTGTTTAGCTTCTCCAGATCCTGTTTGAGAACAGTCGGAAGATCAGAGTTTATAAATACTGGTTTTCATTCAATTGTATACACATCCGTCACCAGCTGCAACCGAAGACACTGACGAAATATAAATATGAAAATCCGTGATTTGCTCCCACTTCAAGGCACCAATGGGCAAGACATGCTTACCCGAAGATGTTTACCATTGATGTACTGAGTAGCGTCCCTCGATAATCTGTACCTAATACAACCCTTCTGATCCAGTTTTTCCAGGATTGGATCGACGTACTGTTTTTCAGAAACATGGCATGCGTTAGTGTCCACGTGTGTAATTTACTCAAAAAGTAGATAGCAGTCAGCTACCACCGAGACAAATGATAGTCGAACAGAAACGCTGAATCAGAAAGGAACAGAAATAAAAGACAAAAAGGTCGAAAAATGCATACAATTAACTTCCTAAATACTGATAAACGATGGGAAATCCTTTTCGCATATTGCTACTTGCTCAGATGAAGTTATGACGGCGGGAGAAGCGCTTACAAAGTTGAGCTGATCTGTGTAGACGACTAGCTCATAGTACTGAGCGAGCTGCTCCAAGAAAGCTTCTACTCCAGGTCGTTTAAAAGTTCGCCAACCTCTATCCCTCTGTGCATTACAGAGGAAATATGTGTAAATATCGCAACAATCACGAAAAATAAGCGCTGAAACCTAAATGTCACAAGGCTTACTTTGAAAACTCTCTGTGATATTGCAACAAGAAATTCCCTAACCCCCGACGGCTATTAAATTGCTTACTTTCCAATCCGAATAGACCAAGGTTTCATTAAGGTCCAAGACAACTGTGAACGCGCCCCTCTCCTGTGGAAGTAGATCAGGCAATAACTTGCTGGATGATGGAGCTGCAATACCCTGCACCAAAGCACCCAATGAAAACACTAAAAGTCAAGGTACTTGTACGATCTACAACATAAGAGCTCTGATTGTCAGTCTAAGTGCTAGCAGTGCCTAAAACAACCCCAGCATCTCCTCTAATCGGAATGAAGGTCTCAAAACTATGTAGAAAGTAAGCCACGTATTGGTAGTATTTTCTAGACACTCACAAAGCAAGAAAAAGGTTCAATACTGTCTTAGATTTTCTTTTTGTTTTGAAATTAAAATACTCAAGAATAACAAGTACTTGTCGTAGTCATGTTCACTTACGCGAATTTGATCTTCCAGGTTCTTTCGTGTTTCAACATAAAAGTCCGCTACGCTAACGGCAGCTGCCCACCCAATTAATCAAAACAGCCACAACATTCAGGTCCCATAAATGAAACAATGTCGTCTAAAATCGAACAGAAGCCATTCAATCATTCTAAAATGTATCTTTGTAAATCACATAATGCTGTTCAATATTATAAAAATCGCATCAATGACGATCAGATACGCACCTCCAAGAGTTGTTGCGTAAACCGTTGAGCGAAGTTTCTACAATAAACATAAAATTCAAAGACATTAGTATTTCCCTAAACATTTAACCACAAGCGTCCTAATGTTTTCTGAAGTCCTAAAAGGACAACAACTTCTAGAACTGAATCTTCTTGTTGAGTTAAAGCATGCATATATGACCTACGAGATCATTCAATTAACACACCAAAACCTAAAGCAGCACAGCAAAGAGTGGTAAATATAAGAGACAATCGGAAGTGTGCAAAAGTGTTACACCGTAAATGTGGAAATGCTTATCATCTGGTAAATATTATACACAAGGAGGAATTTCAATGTGACGAGTGTCTCAAACTGTATCACAAAAAAAACATGACGCGATAAGGATTGAATTAAAAACTCACGTCTAGAAGGTTCGACTCATCGAAAGTCAGCTTGCTTATAGAAGACTTCAAAGCTGACAGCTTTTGCTCCACAGAATCAACATCGTATGCTGTATTACACAAAAACCGACTGTTAAGAACTGGCGAAGAACGCTCCCACGATCAATTAGATCAAATATTCATTCGAAACATCGCGATGCTCGTTCCTAAGAATAGGAGAGGCAACAATCATACTCTTCGTGATGATCCAGACTTAAAGAAAACTCCGACATGGGTATTGAAAGAACAAAGCTCCCCAAGCGATCGGTAATACTTAATCACACTACCTATCGTTCTGAAAATATTCGAATCACTTTCATTAAAGCCTTCCAAAACTTTAACACGAAGTCCTCTGTCCCAGAATAATTACACTAAAAATCCTACCATTATCTGACAGGCAACACGTCATGTCCAAGACATAGCCGTTATAAACATCCCCGAAAGCTAATTAGCACAACAGTCCCGAAAAAATTGCTTTGATCAACAAACGGAACGGAACCCTAAACCTACATCGATACACTTGCGACGTAAATATCAGCAAACCATCAAATTTGCCCATACTTAGGCGCCTCCGTGCTCCTAACCGAGATCCGTGGAGACATAAACTACAAATGCGGAGAGACACACGCGATCGGCTGATCGTCATATTTCCTGAAATTCCCTCACAATACTCCATTATGTTAGCCCCTAAAACCCTTCGAATCCTTCAAACACGCACGACAACACTCTTCCCAAGATCCCGACCACAGCTGCATCAGACATCCTCTCCAGCGTGACCTGACCAGCGATCGCGAAACACCACCAATACAAGAGCCGAAATCCTAAAAACCACACTCTCTCATCTATCCCGAGAAAGAAGAACCTTACAATAGGTCACATACGCTGCCCCGCCCACAGCCCCCGTGGCCGCGATCAGCAAGCTTGATTTCACCACCCTCCACAGGAATCTCTGTTTCAGGCTTCCAACCACGCCCTCTTCACTCGTTCCCACACTCGCAGCTGCGGCCGTGCCGGCCGACGCCGATGACTCCGTTGCCACATTCTGAGACGAAGCCACACTGGACAGGCTTGCGGTACTAAACCCCTGCGGTAGAAACGCCGCCAAGGCTCTCTCTCGCTGCCCTTGCAGCACCTCCTGCACGGCCCCCGCCGATCGCCGCAACATGGTAACCTTGCTCATCGCATTCAACGGATCCCTCAACCTCTCGCTCAATTGTACGCCCGATTGCTCGCGTGATCGGGGCTTGTTTCGTGCGATTGCTAACGGCAGCCGCCACTGATCGGACTCCTCTGGAAGAAACGAGATGTGGCCATGCACTACCTGGTGTGAACAAAGTTAAGACGATGCACACGGCGCAGAATCGTGAAGGATTCTCGAACATCGGTCGCGGGGGCCTTGTCGCTAGCGGAGACCATCTCGTCGGCGTGGCGTCCCACTGCGAGTCTCTCTCCTCGTCGTCTCGGTCTCTGGAAGTCCATTGCCACGGCTTTTGGATGAATGTTACCATCCAACATCTGGTTACGTTTTCCGTACATCCAATTGTTCCGGGTATATGCGGGTTTCGGATCTGTTCTCTTTGGAAGCGGAACATTCTATCGAACTTTTCTATTACATCGTTTCTTATAATTCCAAATGATACTTTGGTAGTGGACTTGTCTTTCTAGCATGATGATTTTTGGTACATGAATTGACGTTTTGAAAGATGGTGGTGATTTTTATTTTAATTTGTACCTTGGGTGGATGAGGGTGTTAACGATAATTTAATATATTGAATAAATAACGTAAAAAACACAAACAAACAAACAAAGTGTTTCAGAATGCCTTGGTGTAAATGTATCACATCTTTGAAATATCTACAAAGTTCTTCTATTTAAATGATACAAATTTAAATAAAATAAAATAATAAAATAATAAATAAATAAATAAACATTCAAAACTCATTATACAGTACTGTGTAGCTTAGTGCTTTCATCTTAAATATAAAATCTACTTTAGAAGCATCTCATGGGTCTTTCGGAAATAAATATGTAATATTTAAATATGATATTTAATATCTTCAGTATTCTTGATTAAAAAGAAAAGAAAAGAAAAAAGAAAAACAAGTTTTAATGGTACATAAAAATAGAAACATGATTTAAGTTACAAAGAAAAATGATATTAAAAAAATTAGATAATTTTCATTTTTTATAGGATCATGATGTTTTTTGGGTTTTGGTATAATCATCTATACGTAAAAATGTCAAAGTGTAAGTTTCAAATTTACATTCTCACAATAAAACAAAACTTCCAACATCAATTTTTACTAATCTTCAGAAATAATTGATTCTCATTTTAAAAAAAAAAAAAAAAAAAAAAAAAAAAAAATCAGATCATCTCAAATCCCAAGATATGTATTTATTAGATTTTTATTTTATTATTTGGATTTAAATAATATTAAAAAAATTGGTTTTCAAAAAAGCAATACGTGATTCAATACGGAATTAAACGTTCTTATTTTTAAAAAACTTGATTCTATTCAATATGTGTCTCTATCTCTTAGCAGATTTTGTAATTTAAAAATCAATCAAAGCATATAAAACATTTCCTAAATTTACATATTTCTTAAATTGAATTAAAAAATAATTTAGACCAAGTATTAAGTCAATCTTTAAGTAGATACATTTCTTAAGATTCTTATTTTTTCTTCAAGAAATACTAGATAAATCACATTTATTATACATATGTGCATACATACATATACACAAATATTGTTTCATATAATCTATGTACTGAACTAAAATGTAAAACCATCAAATATAACTTCAAACAATCAAGTAAAAATTAAAGATAAATCAGTTTTTTAGAAATTACATCTAAACTTAATAAAAAGAATTATAATTTGATATTATAAGCAAATATAGAAATTACTAAAATAATTTATTAGTAAATTTTATATTTAAAATTTTCATGAATTTGCTACTCAATATTTTACAAAACAACAACTATTAAATCAGGCTTGTTGCTAACCATCTTGTGGATAGCACAAAAAATATTTATAAATATTTATATTAATAAATAATATCTTAAATTGATCCAAATTATTATGTATGTTTTAATATATCAATCTTTCATATATATATATATATATATATATTGATTCTCAAAATTGAGTCAATTAACAAAACAACAAATTGATTCTCAAAATTGAGTCAATTAACAAAACAACAAATTTTGAAAAGCCATTTCTAGAATAATATTGATTTTTTTGTTAAACCATAAATTTTGAAAGATGTACAATCAAATTAGTAATCATGATTTTAATTTTAGCTTCAAAATTGTATCAATGAAAGAAAAATTTCATTTCAAATGAACTTAGGTCTATTAACTTAGATTTGAAATTGATTTTATTAATTACTTGTTATTGCAAGAATGAATTTACAATGCCATTTAGAGTTCTGTCTCACCTTTAGATAATAGTTTAGTCTCTTAGAAAAATATTTCTATATCTATAAAATATATATAAAATCTTGGCTCCCAAAACCTCCTTTACTTTGCATAAAATTATAGCAAAATCCTTTGAAAATATTTTTCTCCTACAATAGATTTTTTTCTCCAAACTTTAGAAAATCATATCTCTTGATCCAACCATTTCATTTTTTTTCAAATTTCTAGCTAATATATAATTTATCCTTAAGCTTTACTACAAAAAATGAACCATAAATCAACCATAGATCGTTTGGCATCTTAAAAATCCTAGTAGGTGCTTTAAACCCTAATTTACAAGCACTTAAATACTATTTTCTCTATATCTCAAAAATCCAAATTCCAAATACTACAAAATTTATGTATAAAGTTTAGTAACATAATAACACGTATTTTTAGAATTTTTTAGCCAAAATCTTATCAAATTGCTCAAGATATAGGTCAAATCACAACCACTAGTAAATCAGATTACTTACTGCCCATAAATTGCAAGCACTAATTTCAACTTCCTAAAACTCCTTCATTTCAACTTAGAATTCATCAAGCAATATATGAAAAGTGTAGCCAAAAAAGTGTCCTTTCCAATCTCAGTTATTAATTCTTCATTTTATTTTGTATGCATGTGTTATATCCAAAAGAGTGACAATAGATATAAAATCAAGACCTTAACTTTGAATACTTATATCTCTTTCATAAAAATTCCAAATTATCCAAAATTTGCACCAAAATCATGACAAAAACTCTAAAATCTTTGATCTTAGACTTCAAAGTTTGAATGACCTCGAAAAAATAATCCTAATCCCTAATAATATCTCAGACAACCCCTTTAAAGCCTATTGGATATGCCTTTTGGTTAATAGTAATGGAGATTTTCATTATCTATCTCCATTCATCCATATAGATACACTAATTATTCTTTTTGCTATTAAAATCCCTCTCCAATTCTATTTCTTATAAAATTTACATAATATATGTCTTAAATATTAAATAAAAGAAACAAAATAAGAGTCATCAATGTTTAATAATGGTAGCTCTAAATATCTAAACTATTATTAATATAAAATCAATTTCAATAATAGCCCTTTTAAACAACCACTTCAAAATAATAATCTTACCATATTTTGTGACTAACAAAAATCTAATAATGTGGATTTTATTACATTGTATAATAAACTATATATTATATATATATATATATATAAATTATTTTCATATGGTAGTTAAGCTACAACACAACAATGTAGGCAAGCTTCTTTGATTCTATCATTCTTGAATAATATCAAAAGTTCTAGAATAGGATGTTCAATCATATCTAAGGTATTTTAGCTTTTAAAATAGAGTAGATAAATTATTGATTTGTAAATAGATATAAGTTACATAACTAAATTAATAGACCTAATTTATTTAAAATACAATTTTTCTTTCATTGCTATATTTTTTAAGCTAAAATTTGGAAATATGATAGTGAGCTTAGTTACACATAATTTGTGATTTGGTAAAAAATTCAATAATCTTTTGGATAGGACTTTTGAAATTTTTTTGTTTAGTTAATTAGCTCAATTTTGAGAGGCATTGTATATATTCTTAAAAAAATCTATATTCTTGGAATTAATAAAATTTTAAAATATAGAATTTAATATTTATTAAATAGAATAATAATATAATTATAAAAACATAATTGAAAGCTTTATAAAATTTATATATATATATATATATATATATATATATATATAAAATTGTTAAAACTACATCCAAATATTGTTAAAGCTACAACTCCTAAACTATGTAATGATTAATTTTGGAAGATAGAAAAGAAATGATGGAGATAGGAAACAAATATGGAGGATAAAAATGAAAAACAAAGGATATGGAATAAAGAATAAAGATGGAGATGGATGGAATCGATCATGAAATGGTAATGTGGAATGTGGCTTTAACAACATTAAGGTGTCGCTTTAATAACTCCTTATATATATATATATATATATATATATTTAGAGAGTTACAAAGCCACAACCCTCCTTGCCATCTCATGATTGATGTTTTTTCTATTTCATGTTTCCATCTCTAACTTTTATTCTTATTCCTTATTTCTAGCCTCTTTATTCCTAACTTCCTTGTTTCTAACTCCTTTGTTCCTATCTCTAATTTGCAAATTAAAATAAGATCCGTTTTACATTCCCTTCTTTGCTCCTCCATTTTTAAAGCATCTAACTTGTAAAATCTATTTGTGTACCTCAAGTATAATTCAGATTTGTGTTTGATTTAAAAACAATATAATCAAAATTAAATAAGATATAAATTTTATTTACAAATGTCTCTATTCAATCCCTCATAAGATTATATTACTAGACACCATGCAGCATCTTACTTTAATGGATTTCAAAAGTTCCAAAGATTAAAGCATACTAGATGGAAAAATTGACATATCTTGTCTTTTGACAAAATTCAACTTTCGTTGACAATGTGTATTAATGTTTTGAGTTACACTTTATAGTCAAAGTAAAAACTCATTCAATTTTTAAATGGTTTTTAAATATTATTAATTTTTGAACATGTCTTCACATTGATTCATTTGTACTTCAAATTTTACTCTAAGAAAATTGTAATTGAGTTTGGATAACATGATAATATAATTAGTCTTGTAACTTATTAGAAATATTAAGTGAGTTTTTACTTTGATTAATAACATTAAAATGTGGTTTTAATAAATTTATATATTTATAATAATTAGACAATTATAAAAAATTATAAAAAATTATATTTTTAATTAATTTATATCTATAATATCATCAAAAAATATTATTAGCAAGAATTATTAAAAAAATGAATAAAATTTTATTATATTTTTTTTATGAAGAATTATTGAAAAAAAATTAAAAACATATTATATCTTCTAAAATTACAAAGTCTTAGTTTAAATTTTTAAAGTCTAAAAGACTCTAAAGTTAATTTTTGTAATAAGTGAAAAGATTAA